TTAAAGGTCCCTACAAAAATGTTTGTGTCTGGGTTCTTATTCTGCAATCATTTAAAAGTAGCACTGTGAAGTGCCACTCATATCTTTAAAGTTCTTAGATGGAGGTTCTATCTTAAGTTTCGTAAATCTACAACCACTAATCAGGAATCCTTTGTTTTTAAGATGGGAGCATCTAATATACTCTTACAGGAGACAATTTTTCTTATGCCATAAACCCAACACATGTTAAAAAAATAATAAGGTATGTTTATCAATATATCTACAATATAAGATAACTCTCTCATACTACATAAGAGAATAATTTTCCTTTTAAGATTTTGATCGTGCACAAGCACATTAATAAGATGAGTTCCTATCGGGTCAATTAAGACTAGCTAGATATTTTAAAAACCTGATTATATCTAATGAGAAGACTGGTTCTATTTCTAATAACATTGAAATTATCTGAGCAGTAGCATTATGTTGTTTCATTAGCCCCATGGAATCAATCCTGGATTCTACTTAGTAGTTGCCTCAGCTTTTATTCGTTCCCTTAATAAGTAATTAAAAGGTTAACTGCGTTCTTCCAAAACAATTAACATTATGTATTTCAATTATTATATAAATCTTCTAATATGTCGTTTAATGCATGAAATTAGACTTGAAATTAAATTTTGAAATTGGAAATATACCTTCTAATTTCTGTTTTCTTATTTGGTGTATTGGCGTTTCAGTTAAACCTTGTTATGGACCTAGATAATTGAACCATATCCCAACAAAGCAAGCAGAACAACCCAATATCTCTATCTAAACCGCCTTCACAATTTTAGGATGATGAAGGCTCAAATCCAATACGATAAGAATTATAAATAAAGGTCGAAGATATTAGGTATACATTTTGGGTTTTATTACTCTCATTCAACATAAGATAGATATCTTATGTTGTAGAGAGAAAATAGGTGGGTCCCACCATTACAAAAAAAAGAAAAAAAAGAAAAAGGTGGGGCACGAAAATCGAAGAGAGAGAAAATGAGAGATGATATCTCATTTTGAAGGAGAGTAATATTTTCCATACATTTTTTATCCACTTTTACTTCAACTATTACTGTGCTCACATTCATATGGCTATGCTGTTCGGCATTCGCTTTTAGTGCATAGTGATACGTACACATTTGTGGTATTTATTTCATAAATACTCGTCAATATACAACTCTCATAGTTATTCATCACCCATCGGGTGAACATTAACGGATCGAACAAACCTCATATTTGACTTGCTCAAAAAATAATGGGTCGCAACTCTGAAAAAGAGTGAAAAGTCTCAAATTCGAAACCGAATTAATGAAACTAATTAAGAATTTAGATACTGGTTGATTTAAAAAAATGAAAAAAATTCGGACTTTAAGTTTAATTTTATGAAATTGAAAAATAACTAATTTATACTATATTCAACTCTGAACTTACACTTTAACAATTATAATCGTAAGTACTAAAAATAAAAGTTTAATTTAATATTTGATATTTTATTATTTATTATCTTTTCCCCTTACATATTATACAGAATATTACCGTTAGCATATTCCTATAACATTGTTGTTGACATTGACCTCCAACCATTGCTACTAGAATCGTCCAGCCATTGTAATTTTTAATTGGAACCTCCAATTTTATTCTAATTTAATTTGGAAATATGATTTTATACATCATTTTTTTTATTTGTCTCAAACATAAATTTTAATATTCTTAATCAATCTCAAATATGAAGGAATTAAAATTGAAATTTAAAATTGAAATTCCAATCCTATCTTCTTAAGTGCCCTAACACCTAAGTGTAATATAAATGGTTTTTTTTTTCAATGCATTAAAAAAAGTGGATTCACTAGTCAAAACATAGACAAGTTGGCGATCGGCGCTACTAGCTGTCAAATGGTATATAAAAAAAATACTAAGAAAACCGAACATGATATAAGGTGGTAGCGGGAGTTTAACTAAATGAAAAGAAAATGATCTCGGTTTGATCTTCGCATGTCTCTTTTGAGAGAATTTTAAATATTTTTATCTCTGACTCGCTTTGCTCTTTGAATTTGTCTCGTAACCGGCTCAAAGAGTCAAAATTTATAAGAATATCGAAAGAAGCTAACTAACCTAAAAAAATAATTAAAGTTGGGTTAAGTTAAAAAAAATGTGTCTAGCTTTAGTCAGTTCTAGTGTAAAATAAGAACATTGTGACACTTAATAAAAATAAAAAGATTTGTGGTCATCGTTGTTCATTCAAATGACATGCATGCACAATGTAAAAACTATGATGCAAATGGAAACAAAAAAGGAATAAAGGCAGATGGGCCATAGAGAGTACGTGATGATGAGTGACCATAACCAAAACAGGATGAATGTGATACTGAATTTGGTTCTTTTATAAGCAAAAAAAAAAAAAAAGGAGGTTTAGTTGAAGGTGGACGAACGAACCGAAAGAAAAGGTATTCTTCCTTCACTATCAGTCAACGTCATTCCTAAAGTGGGTAATTATAAGGAATCAATACAAGAAGTTTAGGTGGGAAACAAAGTATGTTAGTACAAACGCACACAAATACAGTTAGAGAGCTGAGTCAGATGACGAAGCTTAAAAATAGTTAAAATACATGTTTATATAGAAATCTCATGAACGACCTTCTCTAGGTTATTTAATGGTAAGAAAAATGATAGATTTATATATATATATATATATATATATATATATGCACAGTTATTAAATTGTCTTGTTTATATGAATTGGGGTTTAAAAGTATTAATGTATTTTTAAAAAATATAATACTAAAACAAAATAACTCGTATTATCGTATATATGAAAGTAAAATGAATGTATTAAAATTTAAACTACTAAATGTTGTATAAACTAGCAGTATTACAATACAGTAAACATCATATCATTACGATTTTTAAAATTCACACTAGATTTTCTTCTTTTTTTTGTTTAAATGGGAACATATCTTGGCACTTATTTAATAATTTATTTTGAAATGACATATTTTTGTCATAAAAAATGTACAGTTTTAATAATTTTTATTTTATTACAAAAATTATTGAATAATACTAGTTCAGGTGAGAAATTTTAATTAATACATGATAATATCAACAGTTTACCAAAAAAAATTTATATAAATCAATTTCTGTTAAATGAAGATTCTCAAAACTAATTCAAGAAAAAATGGACAATACTTTTTAGGGCTTGCAATTTCTCAGCATGATAAATGCAAATTTTCCTACAAAGAGAGAAAGAGGTGGGGATCACTTTAAAAAAAAAAGTGATTGGCACGAACATCGAAGTGAAAGTGATACGAGAGGAGACTTCTTATGCAAGATGAGAAATCTTTTTCCCTAGTTTTTATATTTTGGATAAAATATTCTACCTCCGTTAGGAAAAAAAATATAAACTTGATACGAGAGGAGACTTCTCATGCAAGATGAGAAATCTTTTTCCCTAGTTTTTATATTTTGGATAAAATATTCTACTTCCGTTAGGAAAAAAATATAAACTTTTCGGGGCATTCAAAAGAATATCCCGCATTCTATACATAAAATTTGTATGAATTTTATAAGAATTATGTTGTAAGAAAAGCGATTGTGTAATGTTATAGAGATTCGTTCTGCGTGCCATTTTTTTAATTTTTTTGTTTTAAAAAATGCAGGTCCCACGAAATATTGTGTTTGTAAAAAATTTCATTGTGTCATATTAAAGGACAAACTACAATCCCAATTTTTATAGGTGAATACATCAGAGTGTAATAAATGATAATAATAAATATTTCCAAAAAGGAGAATTGACAACAATCAATAAATAAAAACAGGTTCACTTCTATAATCTCCCTGTTTAGAATTTGGTTTTATTTATTTATATATATATATATATATATAGTTCAGACATTTTATAATTTTAACTTTACCAAAAACCATAAATTTATTAAATCTACATACTAAGAAAACTTGAAAATTCTTCGCAAAACTGACAATTAATTTATCAAGTTTTAAAATTAAAGTTCATGTATATAGAGACGGTAGGATAAGAATAATAGATCAATGAAGAATAAATCAACATTGTTAAAGTGTTCAATTAAAGAATAATAATATTGGCACATAAAAAATATGTACAACATGTTTATAAATAATTAGATTAAAAAAAATGCACACACATTCTAAACATCTACACATTTTCTTCAGATACTTTTGTTTATTTGAAGGGCTGTTTTATTTGTTACAAAAAAATATATTTGCAAGATAGGTATAAAAAACTATAAATACAAATTACAATAAATTAGATCACCAACATGAATAATAAAGATTTCGCAAGAATAAATCTGAATGTACAAAGGCGCACCAATATCCCAACCAAAAATATCTTCTAGCAACAAGATTAGCATTTGTAGTTCTGAGTTAAGAGATAGATGAATCCCTTTTTTGGAATATACATTTACATCCAAATTCCGTTCCAACAGCTACAAAGATATTAGCATTTCCCAATCAAAACCTACACCGAATGAGGATTTTTAAGTCTCCTCTTTCTCTATTTCAACGAATCACATGGTCACCCAAAATCAACATTTTTGTTGTGCTTACTTGCAACTTCTTCTGGTTCATTGTATGCAGAAGTAGCAGAGCGTTTTCATATGACAAAATCAAAATGAACGAAACATATTAATTAAAAGCATATATATTCTCCTAAAGGAAGAGAAATAACATAGATAGATACATGCAGAAAGTCAATTCGCAAGGTCCTAAATTTTAAAAGCATCAACTTACAATAGAGCCATAAAAAGCACCATGCACAAATGGACCAAACATAACATAGGTAGCTATAAGCTCGCACAAAAGAAACATGACACCCCAAAAACCTACCATTTCCATCACAGTCCTCAAACTTAGGTCCATTCCGAATTCGACAGAAAAGGGAAAAATCCTAAATAACAACTAAACCCTACTTAACTAAACATAGCAAATAAACCAAAGCCAAACTCCATAACAAACTTTCAAGCAGCCACAACCCTAGAGACAACCTTGCAAACCAGTGGGGTTTTCATCTCCATGGAGAGTTTAAGGCGCTCAGACAAGTCCACAGAGCCATCTTCGTCAGGCACCCATTTAAAGCTTTGAAGCAATTGAGCAAGCCAGAGATGAACAGAGGCTAAACCCATAGCCTTACCAGGACAAACCCTTCTCCCAGACCCAAATGGAGCCAATCTCAAATCAGATCCCATTATACTAACATCCTCTTCCATAAAACGCTCTGGCTTGAACTCCTCTGGTTCTGCCCACAACTTCTCGTTGTGGGTTATGGCCCACATATTCACCATAGCTGTTGTACCTGCGGGAACATGCTTGTCACCTATCTCAACATCGTGTATTGCTAAGCGAGCCCATGAAAGAAGTGGCCCAGGTGGGTGCACCCTCAGAGCCTCCTTCACAATGCACTGAAGATAACGCAGATTGGGAACATCAGCATCCTTAACAACCCCGAACTTTCCAACAACAGCATCTATTTCCTCTTGTGCTTTTGCTTGTATCTCAGGATGAAGAACCATCCTTGCCAAAATCCATTCCAGCAAAATAGCCACCGTGTCAGTTCCTCTGAAGATCATTTCCTGAACATAAAACATAAACATTATGTGATATATCAACTCATTAAATAACAAAAAAAAGGATTAAACCAAGACACAAACAAAAGAACAATGATTACCCAAAGAACAGCAATCATGTCAGAATCACCGAGCTTGTCTTCTTTCTCCAAATCAAGCAACACATCAACGAAATCACCCATGTCACCCTTCAAATATTCACCGGACACCTTTTTCATTCTATGATCCTCGATGATCTTCCCAACGAAAGCATTAACCTTGGTGACCAAACACCTGCACCTTTTCCTCACTCCCTGCAAATCCAACCACCCAAGGAGAGGAAAATGGTCACTCCAGTTAAACACCCCCAATAACTCATACCCTTCCTTGACCAACCCTTCAAGCTCAACCCCATCACCACCATCACCAAACTCATAACTCTTCCCAAACACAGTCATCATCACGTTGTTCAACGACCCAAAATGAAGAACCTTTTTAACCTCAACACGTCCCTTTTCAACCATCAACCCTTTCAACTCTTCCACCATTTTCAACCCAACCTCACGCCTGAACCCTTCGAAACCCAAGATTCTCCTTGGGCAGAACAAGTGAGTAGCAGAAATCCTCCTCAGGTTCCTCCAGTACTCACCATACGGTGCGAACCCCATTGCTCTGTGAAACAGAAGCTCATAAGCCGATTCCTTCACCGGCCTATCAGCAAAACCGGAACTACCCAAAATATCCTTAGCAGACTCCGGTTCGCTCGAAATAACAAACCGAGTCAAACCAACCGAAAAAGCCATCAGCGACTCAGCCTGGTAGGTCCGTGCTAACTTAGCCAGAGCACGGTGAGGTGTCAGACCGGAAAAAACACTAAGCAAACCAGAAACGGGACGGCCCGAAGGACCAGGAATAACAGACCGAGCCGGAAACTTAAGGGCCCAAGCGAGCCCACCAGGTGAAAGCCACAATAGGAAGGCGAGTGTGAACAAAAGAGTGCATATAGCAGCTTGGAAACTGAAAAATGGTGCCTGAAACAGTTCAGGGAAAAACAGATAGTGAAACTCTGGTGTCATTTTTTTTTTTTTCTTCTTTGAAAAAAAAAAAAGAAAAGGTTGTGTTTGTTTGAGAATGAGGAGAGCGTTGGAAAGAAAGCTTAGGGAAGAGTAAGAGGTGCTGTTCTTACGCAGGAGACGAAGAGTGCTGCAGGGTTAGTTACTGGTTATATAGAAGAAGTCGGTGTGGGTGCTGTGGTTTAATATTTTCTTAACCATCTTTTCTTCAAAAAAAAAAAAAAAAAAAATCTTAACCATGGTTAAAAGGAATAAGAGAAAAACGCCCCGAAGAAATAATTAGAATTAAAAGAAAAATAAAAGAGTAGGGTAAATGTAAGGGTTTGAGAATGTAACAGCTTCTACCGTGGCCGTCAGAATCAATTTCGGACTTTCGGAATGGAGTCGCTGCTGTTTAAAATCATTTATTATTTAAGAAAATATAAAATAATAAATATTTTTCTCTTTTTTTTTTTATTGTATTTCTTTTTATTCTTGTTTCTTTTGGTAACATTTGTTCTATTTCATTTAGGTGGCGTTTGGTTGGTATCTTTATAAAATTTTCCTAGGCATTTAACACAAGGTTTCCAAGAAGCACATGTTTGATGAAGCTCCTTCAGACCAAAAAAATTAGACAACTAAAATGCATAAGTTTCTGAATTAGAAATGAAAAAGATGGCTTTCGGCCCTGTTAGAAAACCATTTTGGGAGGTGGGTTTATGAAAAACTACGGATAAGTCACTGTTTGTTGAATTTCTTTGTATACTTTCTTGGTAAAATCTTATCCAACCAAACTACTTTTTTTTACATTTCCCTATCTATCTCACTTTCTTACCATTTCCCTATCAATTCTATTTTCCTAGTATTCGAAAACAAATTCCTCAACCAAACGCTACCTTAAGCTATTCGGTGATTTTTTTTTTTCATTTCAATTAGTACACCTATGAAAGTTGGGATGTGCAAAATAACTAAAAACTGAACCAAGAACTGAACCGAATTGCCCTTAAAATAATTGGTTTTTAAAAATCAGTTCATGAACCGAACCGATTTTTAGAACCAGTTTAAAAACCAAACTGTTTTCGAACTGAACCGAACTGTTTTCGAACCAAACTAAATTGATTTTTATAACTTTATTTTTTTTAAAAAAATTCTTTTCAAAATAGAATCGACCCGAACCGGTTCTGTTTCCAACCGAATCGAACCACTTCCAAACCGAATCAAACCGTTTAAACAAATTCAGTTCGATTTTTTCAAAAAATTCGATTCGATTCGACCCATGCGCATCCCTGAATGAAAGAATTTCATAATGGTGAGTGAAAGAATTACATAATAAAACTTATGGTTATAGAAAATATAAGATTTTTTTAATTTAAAAATTAAATAAATAATCATTTTAATTAAAAAAATTGTTTTTTAAAAAGTATAGGATTTAAAGTCTCACATTAGTTGCATAGACAACTAATATGAGATTTATAAGATTTTCGATACTTTTACCCTTTATTCTAATCTTTCGGATGGTGATTCTTATCTAATAGTATTAAATTATTTCATTATATCTTTTAAGGACTTTATAATTCTCATATTACATGAAAAGGAAATTTTTATGTCCTAGAGATAATAAATATGTGAAACCCATATATTAAAAAAAGTTATGTGTGAAACTCAAAACAACATAGAAATCAAAGAGTGTGTAAAAAAAAATTAATTTTTATGTTACATGAAAATTATAAAATCCATCTTTTAATTGCAAATGAGCAGTACAACTTGTGATGTTGGAATTGCGGTATTTGCCCAAAGTTAATAAAAAAAAAAAACTAGCGCAAAATCAACTCCTCTTGGACACCGGGATCGCGGAATGCTGTAGAATATTAAGATTCATTTGCATTCTACAGTAATTATACGGTTTGTGTTATCCAATGTTAATCCAAATGATATTGTTTTGGGACGAAAATTATGATATTTTTATTTCAGATTTATAATAGTTCTTATCATTCTATTTTTTTAATTTTTCAACCCTAAAATGACGTCGTTTCAATAAACATTAAATACTTTTTTTTCTTAATTATATGGTTAATTAATATAATCTTTATAAAGTCTTAAACACTCTTATTTTTTTTAAAGTAACTTAACTTTTAGAGTAATGTGCGTCCTGAGGTTCTTATCACCCTCCTTAAAAAAAACAAAAAAAAAAAGGTTGTCATTGATCAGAGCTATATATACTTTTGGCGGTAATCAAGAAAGTTCTCAGCGAGAACACTGTATTAACATGTGAAGTTGAGGCAATAGTGATCTTAACCTCAGCGGGAATATTTAGGATCATACCGTGCCGTTTCATTTACTGATAACTAAACTATTTGAGGTGCAAATTTTCGTCACCAAAACCAAAATGTTATTTATTATTTCTACATCTAGGAGATATTTTTTTAGATAGAAATTTTTTTTACCCTTCCATTTTAGGAAGAATTTATTGAAAAAAATATTCAATAATATAATATATTTCAATCCAATATGTATTTAATAAATAGTGTTTATTTAATCAAAATAACAAATTACATAATTTATACATTTATAAATTTTTAGGCTACCAATTCCTTCGTGGGAAAAATGTGCATAATTTTAAATAATACAAGTTGTATTATTTTATAGACACAAAAAGATATGGTCTCACTAAAAAATAAAAACAAAAAATAAATAAGTGGATCTTATCTTTCTTTTTTTTTTATAGACAGTGGATCTTATCTCTTTGTTTTTATGAAATGACACAATTTGTATCATTTAAAATAAGATAAACATTATATTTATAACTTACAACCATATATCAAATTTCTCTCAATCAATAGTTATTATTTTCGCAAATCAAACTCATTAATTAATTATTAATTCACAATAAATAATAACCGTTGATTGATGGAAATCAACGGTTAAAATATGATTGTAAGATATTGTAAACAAAAATAGATTGTAAGTATAACTTTCCTCTTAAAATAACACATATTTTTCCCTTCATTCTTTAAAACAAAAAAACAAATTGATTTCTATCGAATGATATTTCTCGCTTATTTTTGTTACCCATATTAAACAAAAAAAATTATGAATGTTATTATGCACAACCGAAAAAATACTTTGAGTATAACATATTATATCTACTCATAAAAATTTATAATAAATAAGCTTAAGTTTAACAGTTTAATATTTTTTAAATGACATCGACAATTCAAACTAGCAAGACTTAAGTGACATTTAATATTTTTGAAATTTGAATATGAATATGTTTTAAGAATAGTAATTATATAAAGTTAAATGAAGCTAACACCATTAGTTGATTTGATTTGTAAAAAAAAATAGTGTTAAAACTTATATTTTATTTTTAAAATAATTTATGCACTGATAAAATTTTAACTAATATACAAAAAAAAAAAAAAAAAATCAATGTTGTTGCTTTGTTTTTCTAACTCCATTTTTGTTTCGAATGGTTTGTTTTAGTTCTTTTAGTATACTTTCCTTCATTTGTTTATTCATGTATTTATTTATTTTTTTCTCTATTTTATTTTATCCAATATTTATCTATTTTTCCTTTTGTTTATTTTCTCCTAAATTCATCTCTATTTTTATTCTATTTTTTGTAATTTTCCTTTTAGTTTATTTAATTTAATTACAACCCAAAAATATGGAAGTGTGATGACAACCCCAAAAATAAAATGATGGAAGTCATTGGAGGATAAAAACATAGTTAAAGGAAATAATGCCTCGAGGATGACCACGACAGTTAGATGGAAAAGCAGATTAAATGTGAAATAAGATGGCTACTTGTATCCAAAAAAATGAAAAGAGATGTTTTGGAGAAAGTAAAGGGAATAGATTTCAAATAAAGGAAACTCGGTGATAGAATGAACAAGTGCAAGAGGCATTCAAACAAGAGAAAAATAACTTTAGATGTTTGCATAAATGTCGTACTGATGATAACTTACAAAACTTTGGATTTGCTATAAAAGATGCTAAGAAAGCAATGCGAGAGGCAAAAGGCATTGAACAAATATCTTGAGCGTAAAGAAGGCAAAAAGACATCTATGAACTTGCAAAAATATGAGATAATAAAAGTAAAAATTTGACCAGAGTTAGATACATCAATGATGAATATGACAAAGTTTTGGTAAGAGATACAGAAATCAAATAAAGGTGGATCAACTATTTTAATAAGTGTTTTAATGGGGATAGCAACAAAAGTGAGGTAAATTTTGATATTATCTAGACAACGCTTCGTGCGTATAATTAAAATCCATGGGTTTACGGAGGTGTTGAATAAGTAACCTTAGAACATGATGGTGTTCTTATTGAACTGTGGATCTGCCTTGAGGATGTGGCATAAGCTAGTTGACAAATATTTTGATAAGATTCTTCAAACTCATTAGATGCCTAATATATGAAAAAATAATATACTTGCACTTATATACAAAAAATAAGGGAAATATTCAGAATTATTTTAGCTATAGAGACATCGAGCTTACGAGTCATACATTGGAGTTTTGGAAGAGTTATTGCACATTGTTTGAGAAAAAGACCAAGGTCTCTATAAATCAATTTGGAATTATGTCGCAAAGATGTATCGTGAAAGCTATTTTCTAGTTACAATAATTGATAAAGAAAGACATCGAAAGAATAAGAATAACTTATATATGTGGAACTAATGCACTCAGTATGAAAAATGTAAAGATACAAGAGTTTTGATGATAATAAATAAGTATAGAAAGAAGACTTTGAAGCATTAGAACTTGCAATAATCAAAAAGAAGTCTAAGAATACAACCAACCAAGTCAATATGTGTGAAGTTCATCAAGATAATTTACAAAACTAAAATGTGATCAAGATTCAAGCTACAACGGAAGATCCTAAGTTCAATAACTAACAAATAGTACATTTACAGGACTTAGACTCAAATTTAAAGGTAGTTGATCAAAATTACATGAATGAGCTCAAAGTGAACATAGTTTTCAAAATGCATGATTCATAGCTTTTTAAATACTTGA